TTTTTTTTTTTTTAATTTCTTGTTACTGTCTCGTTACGCTCGTCGCAACAGTCAACGAGTTTGTTCTTCATTTTTCTCGCTTCGCTTAATTTTTTTTGTTTTTTTTTTGTTTCACTCTCCGATCTCCATGCGGTACAACGATCTTTTCGCAATGTAACACCTCTTCGCGTCAATTTCTTCCAAAAAACACTCGCGTGGCTTATCTTGTTTTTCGTTTAGTCTCTCGGCTTCCCCCGCACATACTATACGCACTGCAAATGTCTCTTTGACCCCCCTCCCCATCTTTTTGTTTTCCGTCTTCCGTTTACTCGACTTACTCTTCCTGTTAGCGAGAGTCTTCCCACAGGCGCTTTAGAATATCGGTATGAATGCTGTTATAATGGAGACACCTATGACGCATAGTATTGCGATGCAGATCGATATTATGATCATTTTCTGTGGACAAAAAAAAGACAAAACAATCGACAGGTCAGTCTACATGGTTACCTGTGGCTCCTCGACAATCGACGACATTGACAAGTGAGAGTTTGTGGCAGTCAAGTATACAAACATATTTATTTCGTTTTAGTCAGCAGTTGCTGTTTACACTGTCATTGGTGTTGATTCGCTATTTCATTATTGTGGAGCGTGTAAAACGTCAGTCAAATGATAAGAAGTGTCACAATAGTCTATATGGTATGGTGTAATCAATGAATTTGGAGAATCAAAAAAGGTGTAGAGTACATAGTAATAAGAATAAGAATATAATAATAAAAAGTGTATGAAAATGTAAAGGTAAAAAATTTACTTGAAAAGATTTAAAATGAACGTGCTCTACGTAGATAAAACGTAATTATATTTATTGGCACTCAAAGGTGTGCTGCCTCTGCCGAAGCTCTGCGTGTTTGCTTTTCTCACATTGCGTACGAGAAAAGAAGCTTTGAGATGATCAAGTAAGTGGATATATTTCAATGGTTCTGTTGAGTATTTTTTTTTTTTTTTTTTTTCTTTTCCTTTCGTTTATTTAATTTTTTTATTTATTCACACAGATCATGCAAAGGATGCTGCTCGTGTTGTGCGTGTGCCGTGTCACTGTTGTTGGAGTCTGTCGTGACGTGACGTCGAAATAACCATCAAACCGATCGATCGAGAAAATAAATCATAACGTGGAACAAATGTTGGAAAGCTTTCGATGCTGCATGTATAACGTGATACAACATAAATCAATGTTCAATAACGCGAATCGAAAAAATAAAAAACGGTTAAAATTTTTGAACGTGTATCAGAAAAAAAAATGTGTCATTTTCCGTGAGAGACTGTGAGTATCGGTGCAGAACAGCATTTTCTTACATTTCCATCGTAAACATCGGTTGCAAAAAGGCGTAAGAAAAATCATTCCGCAAATAATACGCATGCACCACATTCAACTACACATACGTCTACGACAACATTGCCATTACACAACATCAAAAGGAGCACTAATGAAGAGAGAAAAGAAAAAAAAAAAAAAACTACTTGTATGCAAAAGCGACTAATTATCTACTACGAGCGCGAAAACCAGTCGGTTGATCAATAATATCACAGCTCGAGCTCTATCTATCCATACGGTGTTCTACTAGACGTAAGTTTCGATTCGACCGGCCGGCATCTTTGGACTTGTTATACTGTTTACAACACAAAAACGGAGCCGGTCGAAGGCGAGTACAATGGCTCCTTACGTCGTTGTTATTCTAGGCTCGCCGGTGGAGCGTCTCCTCTTACTTTTGCCTTCGCCGCCAGAGAAACAGGCCGCCCAGGGCAGAATGCTGGTGCGCCATGGGGAATAAAACAACAAAATCCATTCTCGTAAAGCAATGCTCTCTATTGCTCGATTCCAGTCGAGGTAGGGGGGGGAGACCATTTAAAACAAAAGGTAAACTCGGAGGGGTTGGGGGTAAGTAAGTACGTGACTCGCGCAGCCATTCGTGCGTGCGGGGTTTTTGTATACCGTTGTTGCATCCGCGGCATTGTGCTCGGGTGATGGAGGGCTTACGCGAGAGTGATCATTGAAAAATAACCATTTTACCACTCTCTCTCTCTCTTTTTTTTTTTTTTTTTTTGAATGCGCGTATATACATATACACGGGACTCTCTCTCTTTTTTTTTTTTTTTTTGTATCGACACTCTTTATTGTCCGGAGTTGTTTTATCGTTTGACAACTTGCAAACAAAGCGATTGCGGGTGGAAAAAAAAAAAAATTTGTCACAATTATTTTATTGCATTGAAACAGCAAAGGACTCTAATGGGACCCTTTCATTTGCCCTATGAAAAAACAGTAATGACAACAATAGCAGCAGCGGTCGAGCTGTATATGCAACACAGAGGGGGAAAAAAAAGAACCAAGGTGCTTCGTGCGTACATCAAAAACAAAGAAAAAAAAAAAAAAAAAAAAAAAAAAAGGTACACCTCAAGCACAGGTATCCAAACACGTGCATGGCTATCGCTCGCGTACTCCCGACTCCCGATTACCGGTCGATGCAATTACCCCCGCGATCTGTAGCCACATGTCACGGGTTTTTACTCCTTTTGGAGGTGTTTTGGCACTGTCCTCCTTTCCTATCCCTGGCCGAGGTTTATTTCCTCTCTTTGCTCGCCCGAAGCTCGACTTGATTGCCTTCACCGCAGGCGGACACATATACCTACGACGACACATCTAACGAGTACAGAATTTGTATTTATGTGTGTGTGCGCACCAACTCTTCTGGCGATTGCATCTCACATTGTTGTCACGTTTACTACTATACTGGCATGTCCACGAACACATATAATGTAGATAAAGCGCTGCAATTTGAATTTATTTGGACGCGCCGTCTGTGATACCAAAACAATTTCGTAGTGAACAAGATTCGTACGATCGGAGCACGTTTTCGAGTCGAGCGTTACGTCCGGTTGATTTTTGGTAAATTATACATGCGCACGTGATGGATTTTTCATATCAACGAGTTAAATCTCAATTTTGGTTAGAAATAACGTAGACCTATGGAGAGAGACACACACAAACATGTAAGTATGTTCAGATGTAACAAACATTTATGCGTATGTAGACACATATTTAAGGAATTGCCAGTGGGAATGTGGGAACATCCAAGTAATAATACAGAAACACATGTACAATTGTGTAGAGAGTTAATATGTTGTGGAGACGAGGCTGAGGTTGCGCGGATTACACGTTAGCCTGGAACATGAATACTCCCTAACGTGTACTCTGTTAATATAACATATATGTTCTAGTGCACGTGCAGACAGGTACGATAACAATAAACAATGAGCAATGATAATAATTGTACAGGGATGAGTTGTTTTTACATGAGAACCGGTTACATTGTATTGTTACGTTGGGATCCAACGAGGTATATGTGTGTGTGCAAGGGGGATGGGGTTGGGTGGGCCGGCACCTACGGTTGCAGGGTGCGCGTCTCGTGTAATCATCATCGTCCTTTACCTTGCGAGCCTTGATCATGTACTCCTCGGCCTTGGTGAGCTCGCCCCAGGCTGTGTCAACGTGGTCTCCGGTCTGGGACACGTTGAACTCAATCACGTCCATCATTTCGCCCTGTTGGTGCGTGCACGGGGCAGGACGGGGGATGTATATATACACGCGCGCCCAGGGTGTGGTGCACACAACGGAATGAGGACGGATATATTGTTTTTTTTTTTTTTTTTTTTTTTTTTTTTTTTTTTTTTTTTTTTTTTTTTTTTTTTTTTTTTTTTTTT